AGAGAGAGAGAGAGAGAGAGAGAGAGAGAGAGAGAGAGAGAGAGAGAGAGACAGACAGACAGACAGACAGACAAACAGACAGACAGAGTTTGTATACGAATGTGTGTGCGTGTTTTGCGTATGTGTCTAATTGTGTATATTCGGGGGAAGGGAGTGGGTTCATACAAGAAGACAAATGGTCACTTTTAAGCACAAGGGGGCTATCCCGAAAACTGCTGTGTTGAGAAAATCCAAGGTTTAGTAATTGTCCCTTGTTCAGTTTCTTTAAAAGACAAGGAGAGTTTTTTCTATAACCAAACGAATATACTCACCAATGAAACCAAACTTCTCCTACAGGTAGGGCAATGCCCACTTTCGGTGTAGGTTAAGATTTCTGAAAACCCCAGAAATCTGAGTTAGCCCGCTTGTCCTTAAAAGCGACTATGTAGGTACCCGTTAAACCATTTTCCCCGCATTTGAATCAAACCCACGCCCAGAGCTTGAAACCCCGAGTGTCTAAAACTCGACAGTCAAGACGCAGATGGTGGTTGGTGGGTACTCTGGTGTGGTTTGCTTCTTCTTTCCTATCAAACATCTATCGTCCTTATCTCCCCTTCTTCTTTTTTCCGTTTGTAACTCTCTTGTAACACCTCTAATCTTCTGGCGCTCATATGACCTTACGCAGCTGCGAGGGCCGTAAAACCTCTACTAAAACCCAAAAAAACCTCTATTGTAACACTTTTAATCTCTGGCGCTCATAATATGACCGTGTGTAGTTGCGAACGCCGTAAAATCTCTTCTAAAACTAAACTAAACTAAGACAAGTCACTGAAAAAGTTCATGTTAGGCTCAGTTCTCAAACCCACAGAGACGCCTGAAGCTGACCTCAAGTAGATACATACAGAACTCAGGACAGAGCGAGAAACATTAACATTATTGCCAGCGTCTAGCCAGAAATCATAAAATTTGATATTTATGCTGAGATGCTCTCCGTCGGAAAGTTGATACCGTTCAATAAATGTATTTTGAATATGACACGAGAAATAACGAATGATAATGAATGAAAAGATGAATAAACAAGCGTAAAAAAAACCGCTTAAGCCGACAGAGAAAAATGAAAGAAAGAAAGAAATACGAAGAAAGACAGGGGGGGAAAAGAAAGCGAGAAATGCGTGAAGACAGACAGAGAGAAAGAAAGAAAGACTGACAGACAGAAAAAAGAAAAAAAGAAAGAAAGAGAGAGAGAGAAAAAAGAAAGAAAGAAAGACGAAAAGAAAGAAAGAAAGAGAAAAAGAAAGAAAGAAAGAAACGATTAAAGAAATTAAATACAGAAAAGAAACAATTGAAATGTACCCAAAAAAGACGAGAAAATTATTTTTTATTTTAAAGTGGATGAAGACAGAGAAAAAAAATAAGAAAGATAATATGTGTGGTGACACAGATACATGTAGAAGGAGGAAAGAGAGTCGGTAAACAATCCACTTGAACACACTTGTGAAATTCCCAACAATATTTTGACAACCTACCTGTTTGAAGACACGGAGATATAGAATCCAGACATAGAAGCGATGATGATCACTACACTGGAGATCAAAACATTTCTCCGGCACTCACTGAAATATCCTCACGGCCTCCTCTCTGAGTAAGAATATAATACAGGACTCGATTAAAATAGATCTATTTTTGGTGACTGTTTTCTTTTCATATTCTTCTATTTCAATGGCGTGGTTCTATTTTTCTTTTTGTCCATCGAATATTTCTCGATACCATTACGTCACCAGTCTGAAAACTCTTCTTTATTCTGACGGTGCATCATTTCTTAAATATCTTTCTGCGTGTGTTTGCACGCGCGCGCGCGCGTGTGTGTGTGTGAGTGTGTACGTGTGTCTGTGTGTGTGTATGTGTGTGTGTTTGTGTGTGTTTGTGTGTGTTTGTGTGTGTGTGTGTGTGTATGTTTGTATATGTGTCGATTTTTTTTTGTCTTGTTTGCTTTTCTTCTCCAATCTCCCTCTGAGATGGCAGTAGATCTATTCCCGACACTCTCGAACCACCAACTTAACGCTTCGCTACAGTAACTGACGGAAACATCTGTTTTCCGAGACTAATAGATTTTTGAAAGACGCATACGGCCGGCCGGGGAGAATACTCTCTACAGAACACACGGCCTCACATCCAGCCCAGGCCCCGTCACTGACAAGACTCATCAAGACTGGGCTGTTGGCTGAAATCGTGAGTTGGGTTTTTAACTTCCGCGACTGATTTCCAAAAACTGGGCGGCTCGAGCAGCGAGCGAGCGAGTAGCGGAGCGACTGACTGGCAGAAGAGAGAGAGGGAAAGGAGCGGAAAGGGGTGAAGAGAGGAGAGGAGAGAAGAGGAGGAGGGAGAAGGAGGGGAGAGTGAAAGGAGGAGCAGTGTTGGTCGGGAAGAGAAGGGGGGAGGGAGGGAGAGGTAATGTTGGTTGGGGTGGAACGTTTGAGGAAAGTGATGCTGCAGCCTCGCCGTAGTGCAGGGCACTGAGTCTCTTTTACAAAATCCGGATAATATTATGTTAGTGCACCTCTTTGGTAAATTATAATGTTATGAACCGCTTCGGCAAATGGGTTAGAAAAACCACATTGACAGACGGGTTAGCATCACTTCAACAAATTATGGGTGGACCCACTTCGGCAAACGGGTCAGGAAAGAGAGTTAAAAGTCTGAATTCGGATAATGTATTATTGAGGGTTATCCAATTATCCGGATATTTATCCGGATTTTGCCCACCTCTACCTCGCGGCGGCTGATGAAGCAGAGTGAAGAGAGAGAGAGAGAGAGAGAGAGAGAGAGAGGGGTTCCTCTTCTTCTCATTCACTGCTGCTATGTGGGTCCCACGGGCCCAAGTGGGGTGGGGGGGGGAGGGGTGGGGGTGAGGTGGGGTTGAGGTGAGAGCAGCAACAATTAACATGTGTGCACGTAACGGCCTCTGCTCTGATGGGTCGCTAACTTAGAGTTACAAAGTTCTATCTGACATTTTTGGTCGTTTTTTGTTTGTTTATTTCTTTTTTGGTTACTGAGACAGGTCAGAAACTATTTTCTATCTGCATTTTCAATAAATGTAATGTGTAAGATTATTCGGAGTCGTTATCAAGATATTCCAAGAATTGCATTCGAAAAATATTGACATATAAAACTAAAAACTCAAAATTTTCCCAAGTCAGATGTCTCAAAGGTATATCTAGAAAAGATTGTAGCTCATTCTGGACGTCAGACTTAGACTGCGGCAACAGACGATAACGGTAAAAGTACAGTTTAGCCCTCCACTACTAAACTTTGAACGTTTATCTGAGATCTCAAGTCTCTGTGGGACTGTGGGTGTGGGGCAGTGACAGTTCAGTTGCCGTGACGTCATACACGACAGACGTTTTCCGTGGGTGGTTGGCGGGTGCTCTGGTATGGTTTGCTCCTTCTTTCCTATCAAACATCTATCGTCCTTATCTCCCTTTCTTTCTTTTTATGTTTGTACTCTCTTGTAACACCTCTAATCTTCGGCACTTATATGACCTTATTGTGTTACAAGTGTCGTAAAACTTTTACTTTAAAAAAAGACGTTTTCTACTCTGTGGCGCGTCTCGACAGTCAGACTAGATCAAGACAACAGAGAGAGAAGGTAACACAGAAGGGCAATGAAGTTTGACAGCCCAGAAACTTTGAGCTCCTGGCTTCAAGGTTATGCAGTCAGCATAGATCTACTCATTATACATCTTGAACGGAAAGTAAAAGTTTTAGCAAGACATGACAGTCACCAAAAGGGTTGCATAAAATGACAATCTTGGGAAATAGAAGCAAACAAACAGACAAAAGTAATTCCACAACTGTGAACAAAACATAAGACAGGCGAAGACGTAGCCAGATTTGTTAATGGGTGAACTGTCCAAGACAAGGGAGGGAGGGAGGGAGAGAGAGAGAGAGAGAGAGAGAGAGAGAGAGAGAGAGAGAGAGAGAGAAAGTGAGACAGAGAGAGAGAAAGAGATAGAGAGAGAGACAGACAGAGAGAGAAAGAGAGAGAGAAAGAAAGAGAGAGAGACAGAGAGAGAGAGATAGAGATAGAGA